GAGGGGCGGGGACGGAACCCGCCAGGCGCCGCGATCCTTCTGGAAAGACCCCTGGAAACCCAACGCCCCGGGTGGGCCTGGCGGCGTCGCTCGAGCCCCCACCTCTCCCCCTCCCCCTGGCTACTCTGGTGCCTGGATCGCAAAAATCCAGAATTCGTCCCTTTAGGTGCAACTTCTGCTTTCTTAATAGCAAAAAAACACATATTAAGCTTTTAACCCCATTTAAAAAAGGGTTTTAAGGTACAGGAGTTAGAAGCGCCCCAGTAAAGGAAGGAATGGGGCTTCGGGGGATAATGGGCACAGAGCAATGGGAGGGAAAGGGAGAGAAACTTCCTGCCTTTCATCATCATAATGGCATGTGGCTTTGGCCTGAAGTGCAGAGGACATCAGGCAGGAGCCGGGCAGGGACAGCCCTACTTTTCGAGCTGAGCCTGTTGGGAGAGGGAAGATGGGCCATATGGCCAGCTCAGCACGAAGGAAGGGCACAAGGAAGGGCCAGGGTGGAGGGAGACCAGGAATTAAAGGAACGGGTCACCAGGGTCACCAGGCCCAGAGGGGAGCCTGCCGGGCAGGTTGGCAACATGGTGTTTTGCAACATAGACTTTTACTTTGGGACTTCCCGTATTCCTTTCTTTATTTCCTTTCTGTATAACTCTTTCGAAATCAGCTACCCTTGTAAAAATAGGTGATGAAATACTTAGCAGGTATTTGGACTACGCTCTGCGTATTTCAAGACATAGAGATGTACCTGTTACCAGCGCTTGCCCACCAGGCCACATCAGTAGAAGGAGGACGAGTGGTTGAGGAGAAGGAAAGAGAAATGTATTGCTTTGCCGTCAAAGGAGGAAAATGGTAGACTATCATCTCAAAATCCAAATTCCTGCACATAAGCAGAAATACAGAGCTTTTAAAGGGAGGGCCCTCAGCAGCTAGGCTATTGTCATTCAACTACAGTTAATGATTCTAATCATCCCATCTTTGTCCCATCTCTGCTTAAGACCAAGCCTAGATCTCTGACCTCCACCCACTTGGGAGCCCCACCTGGACCTCAGCCCTCCAGGTGCCAGGCCTCCGGGTCCACCTCCTGCAGCTCAAAGAACAAAAGACATTCCCCTGCCCCTCCTGACCACTGGCCTGAGGCAGGGGTGCAGGTCTCAGTTCCCAAAAAGAGTGGGGGAGGTTTTAAAGAGACAGAAAACATTTTTGCCATTTTTGTTTCCAGGCCATTTCCTCTGTTACATATTCCCCACTCTCAATTTTACACTTACGTATCTATGGGAGGAGGGGTGACTACTCTGTTACATATTTGTATGTTAAATGAATAAAGCAGGATATAAGTTGGAATCCTCTTTAAATTGATGCACTGAAAATGACTAGGAGAAATATGCCAAAATATGAACATGAAATAGCTTGTGGGATTATGAATGGTAGCGGTTTTCCTTTTTTGTACTTTTTCTCCCCAGTGCATCTTTACTTTTGTCAACAAAAAAAAAGACCAAACTCTGTAAAGTAATTTTAAAGAGATTTACTCTGAGCCAAATTTGAGGACCATGACCCGGAGCCACGCCCAAGAGGTCTTGAGCAGTGGACTCACAGAGCTTGGGTTACGGTTTGGTTTTATACATTTTAGGGAGACAGGGGTTACAGGTGAAGTCATAAATGAATATGTGGGAGGCATACATTGGTTTGGCCCAAAAAGGTGGGCCATCTCGAAGTGGGGGAGCTTACAGGTTATAGGTGGGTTAAAAGATTCTTTGGCCTGTAATTGGTTAAAGACATGAAGCTTTGTCTAAAGGCTTGGAATGTTTTAAGGTAAGGAGCTCTTTATCAGAGATAAGCCACTGGACATAGATTTTTTGTGTAAATTGAGGACCTGCAGGTTTGTCTTGCATACCCTTAGGCCTGTTAATGGGTTACAAAGGATGTCACCAAGAAGGGAGGGGGGCATGATAAGGCATGTCTGACCTCCTTCCTCCTGGCAGGCAATTTAGTTTTAGGGTATTCCTTTGGCCACGAGGGGGTCCATTTAGTCAGCCGGTGGTGGTGGGGGGTGAGTCTTAAAATTTTATTTTAGTTCACACTTTTATAACAGGGAGGGGAGAATCATGTTAAAGAAAAGGGCAAGTGTCACCTGCCTCAGCTGAGAGGCCAGGAAGGACTCGTCACCTCGTTTTGTTACTGAAAGCTCAGCACTTGTCCACGAGGCCAAATCAGAAGGACAAGGACAAGTGGTTTGAGGGGAAGAAAAGAGTTTTACTACTTTGCCGGCAAAGGAGGAGGATGGAGACTCCTGTCTGAAATGCCATCGTCCTAATAACAAGCAGAAATACAGAGCTTTTTGAAGGCCGGGTTCTCAGCTTCAGGCAATTCCTGTTCAACTACAGTTGATGATTCTGCTGTCCCATCTCTGCTGAAGACAATCTGGTGGCCTCCACCCAGAACTTTCGATAGGTCCTGCTGGGTCATCTCCTGTTGCACAAATAACAGAAGACTTAAGCCTGCTGCTCCCAACCTGGGCTGAGGCAGGGATGCAGGTTTTAGATCTCAAAAAGGAGTGGAGGCTGTTGTAAAGAGACAGAAAATATTTTTGCTATTTTTTTCAGGCCATTCCCTCTGTTACACTTTGAGATAGCATGTTCGTGGGCAGCTGCACTGAAGCCTGTGATCTTGACTCAGGATGGTAAAACCCAGGGGGTACTTCTTTCTCCTGAGCTGGAAAGTCTCTTTCCAGAGCTTTTCTCTGCTAGCAGGTAGAGGGTTTATGTTTTTCCTACATAAGTCCTTGGCAGAGTACTAAAAGGAGCCCACCCAGTTTGCTCCGCAGATGGGCATGGAGCACGCAGTATCCCAATTGCAAGTAGTTGTCTCCTAGTCCTAAAGCAGCTTGCCCTGGAAAGGCCAGTTTCTCAGGGGTTGGCATGTCCGTTTCCTGTTCCTCCTGGCTGGGAGACTCTTGAAATCATGGATAGCTGACTCTACTTCCACCGAGATTCCCAACCTGAAGAAAACGGAAGCTAATCCTATTGGTATTTCTTGCAGCAGGTGTCTAACATCCACTGCTCTTAGTCTTTTTCCATTTCTACCTGCAGATCAGCAGGCAATACCTCGATTATTGCATGTGACCTCTTAAGTAAGTTCCCTCCTGCAGTTTCTCCCCTTCGGAGGAAGATGTCCTGGGAACCTGCTGAAAGCTTAAACTTTAGTAGCCCCGACTTGCAGGGACAGGGCAAGGCTGTGGAAAGGCACCATGTTCACATGGTCACATGCTTTTGTGAAATCTGCCAAGTAAGAGATTTTAGCCACAAATGCTCAGACCGCTGTCTCTTTCCTCTTTGAGTTTCCTTCCAGCATACTTCTCATATGGGGTGGTGGTGCAGTGGCTGTGAGATTTTTGAGAAATGTCTCGACATTTTGCAGCATATATGATATATACATATATATGTAGAGAGAGAGGTCAACAACAAATGGTGAAGTTAGAAACTTTTCTACACTATCAATAAGTAAAAAACAGGTTTTGATAAATTATGCTAGAGGAACAACTGAATTAACTTTCTATAAAGAAGATTACAAAAGGTGGTCATGTATAGAGGCAAAGTTGACAGTAAAAAATGTACATAAAGAGTATTATGGAGGTGTGTCAAGCAATTAATCAATAAAAATATTATTTATTTTTTGGATTTTGTGATGGTGGTGGTATTGGGCAGCTTTTAAAAAATTGTAACCTGTTATTTTCTCATTCTAAGTAAGTACTTTTGTGCCTAATTTTGTACTTAGTTATATATCCTTTTATGAAGAGGGCTCCACATATATAAACTTCAGCTCTATAAAACCTGAATCCACCCATTCCTTTCCATTAATTTGCTACCTTCCTGAAACATTTTCCCCCTATTAATAGTCTAGAGGGGCTCCCCTCCTCCCTTGGAGGGTGGATGGGGGGTGGCTGGAAGAAGCCAACATTTTTGGCTGGTCAGGGATGCTTCTCCAGGTGTTATCACACTCGGTCCTCACAGTTGGGGAGGTGACAGCTGCCCCATGAGGAGACAGTGGACTTCAGTAGCTTGCCCTGTGGTAGATTTGCCCTGAGCCCACTCTGCTAAGCTGTGACTGCATTTCCTAGAATTCCCCTCCTTGAATAGTTCAGAGGTAGCAAGGGCAGGGAGGGTGTTTGTGTGTGTCTTAGACTGTTTTCTGTTGCTTATAACAGAATACCTGAAACGGAGTAACTTGTAAAGAAAAGGAGTGTATTTCTTACAGTTATGGAGGCTGAGAAGTCCAAGGTCGAGGGACTGCATCTGGTGAGGGCCTCCTTGCTGGCGGGGACTCTGCAGAGTCCCGAGGTGGTGCAGAGTATCACATGGTGAGAGGGCCGAGTGTGACAGTGTGCTCAGGTCTCTCTTCCTCTTCTTATAAAGCCACCAAGGGAGTCCCACTCCCATGATAATCCATTAATCCATTAACCCATCAATCTATGAATGGGTTGATCCATTTTCACGAGGCAGGGCCTGAAAGACCGAATCACCACGGCTTGAAGGCCCCACCACTCAATACTGCCACATTGGGGATTAAATTTCCAACACATAAAATTTAGGGGACACATTAGAACCCTAGCAGCGTGCAAGACTTGGGGAAGGT